GTGGGGAGGGATGGGAATGGTGGGAGGGTGGGGGTGGCTGCATCCACGCCGGGGCCGAGGGCTTCGGCCTGTGGCACCTGCGGGGCGGGCGTGGCGGTGGGGAGTGTGGAGGAGGGCGCCCCTGCCAGCCTGCCTGGCTGCCGTCCTGCCGGGCCTGCCGCCGGCCTGCCCAGCCTGCCGCCAGCCTGCCCTCGCATGCGACCCTGCTGTGCCTCCCCTCCCGCCCCCGGGCCCCGCTGCGCGCAGGCACTACGGCCGCCATGGTGGCCAAGTACCGCCCCCACATGCCCATCCTCACGCTGGTGGGCTGCCAGGGCTGTGTGTGTGTGTGTGTGTGTCTCAAGGGTTGCCCTGGGCATGGGGGCGTGAGGCGGCAGCAGGAGGGCCCGCCCTGCCGCAGCGGCCCCACTTACCCCTCCCCTTGCTCTCCCCTGCCCTGCCCTCCCTCGCCGCCCGCCCAGGTGGTGCCCTACCTCAAGCGCGACGGCCTCAAGTGGAAGCTGGAGGGGCGGCACGCGGCGCGCCAGGCCCTGCTCACCTCTGGCCTCATGCCCATGCTGGCGGCGCCCACGCCCTCGGGTGAGCGCCCGCCCGCCCAGGCCAGCCTGCACCTGCGCCCGAGGCTGAGGCTGCCGCCGGGGGCACGTAGCTGTGCAGCTGTGCAGCTGTCGCTGCAGCCTCAGCTGTGGGGCGCGTGCCGTCTCTCGCCTCGCCCCGCCGCCTCCCTGCGCCAGGCCCGTTTTCTGCCGCACGCCGCCCGGCGCCTCCCTGGCGGCCCGCCGGCGGCCTGCCGCTCTCTTCGCCCCGCCGCCGCCCTTCCCACCCCTGACGCCGCTGCCCCCGCCCCCGCCCCCCAGCAGCGGGGGAGAGCCTGATTGAGGAGGCGGTGCAGCTGGCGCTGGCGCACGGCTGGGTGGACCCCAACGACCACGTGGTGGTGGTGTCGCGCAGCCAGCAGGACGAGGTCATGATCAAGGTGCGTGTGTGTGGCTGTGTGTGTGGCTGTGTGTGTGTGTGTGTGTGGTGGAGGTGGGGGTGAGATGGGGGCCTTGCGGGTGGGGGGACGCGGGGGTGGTGGTGGGGCCTGCGGGTGGGGCGGGCAAGGCATGCTGCTTGCCAAGGCCTGCTACTGGTGGGGGGCCGGCGCCGCCGCCGCCGCTGGGCGACGCTGCGTCGGGCGGATCTGTGTGCCGGGGACTCTTTCCTGAAGCCTCCTCTGCCACCCGTCCCTGCCGCTGCCACCCCCGGCGCCCCCTTGCCCCCGCAGATTGTGTCTGTGGACGAGCACGGCGCGGGCATCAAGCGCATCCGCCCCAAGTCTCTCTACGACATGCTCAAGGTGCGGCGCCGGCGTGCCTGGCGGCGGTGGGCAAGGGGTGTGTGCGTGCCAACCGTGGCTGGCCCTGATGCCGGGCCGTGTGAGCCTCCCGAGGGGCCGGAGCAGGAGGGGCGGCGGCGGCAGGCGAGGCGCGGGCGGGCTGTGCTACTCTGTTTGCCATCGACTCTACCCACCTTCACCCCTTGGCTGGTTGGCTGGTGTACTTGGCTGCCGCAGGCGGCAGGCCACTGCATCCCTGAGGACGATGAGGTGGATGAGTTGCCCCTGGCCGCCGCCTCCTCGGGGCCGCCCTCCGCCCGCTCCCGCCCCATGCTGTCCCACCCGTGAGCACCCGCCGCCGCCGCCGCGCCGCCGCGCCCCTGCCCCTGCCCCAGCCAGCCTTCTGCCCGCGCCTGCGCGTGCCTCAGGTGGGCGCGCAGCTCACCTGCGCCGCCGCCTCCGCCGCCCGCCGCCCGTGCCACTGCAGGAGCGCCGTGCTGCACGGCCGGCGCAACGAGGCGCTGGTGATGTCGTCGGCGGGTGAGGCTGGCGCTGAGCTGGCGCTGAGCTGACGCCGCGCCTTATAGACTGCGTGCGGCGCCGTGCCTGTGGCGCCCACGCCTCTGCCGCTGCCGCTCTCTTGCCTGTGCGCTGTTGCTGTGCTGGCGTCGGTGGCGGCATGGCGGCAGATGGCAGCAGATCAAGCGTTGTGTGCCTGCCCCTGCTCCTGGCGGCTGCAGAGATGATCAGCGGTCCGTCGGCCAATGGCACCTCCCACTGACTCGCGGCCGCCACAGGCCCGGGCGCGGCAGGCAGGGCAAAAGCCGCGGCGGTGCCCGCTGTCCCCGCTGCGCCCCCCAGCGGCAGCGGTGCGGAGCCGCAGCAGGCAGTGGCGGCGCGTGGCGGCGGGCTTGCGGAGCAGGAGGAGGCGGCTGCTGCGGCGGTGGCAGCGCCGGCGGCGCTGCCCCCGGCGCCGGCTGCTGCAGCTGAGCTGCTGGACCTGCCCCTGGCCCCTGCCCTCGCCCCCGAGCCCCCTGCCCAGCCTGCCGAGCCAGCGGCGGAGGCTGCGCCTGCTGCGCCCGCGCAG